CATGTTACGTGAGTCAACAGACGAGTCACTCGTTTTTTCTGTCACTTTTCCTCACCTTATGCTCTGCTCCCTGTTCCTAAAGCCAGATCCCTCACAAAAAAGTGAGGGATATCTCTGACTGCTTATCACAGCCCTGTTTCCTGTCTCCCCGTCTCCCCGTCTCAGGGCATCTGTGTATCTGACAACGTGTGGCCTCATTCTTCTGTTTGTTCTGAGCACTGACCAGTTCTGTGACTTGTGCAGGGCATTTGGTCGAAACGGTAGCTGTATTTAATTGTCCTGTCTCTTACTGTACTAATTTTGTTGTTTTGCGCCATCTGTTGTCCGTCTGAACTCCGTCTGGCATGGGGCGACTGGCAAAATTGTAAGCAAACGAGTCAGGGGTAGGCTCAGAGTCACCTACTTAGGGAACTAAATAACAAAACAATAAATGGGTAACGGGGAAAGATCAGGGAAACGTAGCTTTTTAAAGAGCATCCGAGCAAAGGAATGGATGGAGAACCATGGTCGCCGATGTCTGTCGCAGATCTGGCACTGGATGATGATGATGATGATGATGATGATGATGATGATGATGATGATGATGATGAAGCGACTTTCGGGGTTTTTGGTTTTATCCGAAAGAGTGAGAACTGAGAAGAATGTCCTTGGGTTTACGCCACACACTGGCCAGTAATGTGAGGGACCCTGGACATTTCTGAGGTGGAAAAAAGCTTTGTCTTGTTATGTTACCTTCTGATCTTCAGAGCCTGACTTATCAAATCGCTATCCACTTGACAGGAGAACAATTGAACAGTTCCTCTTCATATTTCCTTTTAACATGCTAGCAGTAATGTCAACATCAGCCCTACCTTTACTGATTCTCCTCCTGATATGCTAGAAGTTTGGCCTCAGTTACCCCGTGGTAACTGTCTAAAAGTTTGATCTTTGACCTACCCACATTCAGGCTTCTCGAAAGAGATGACAGAGGTTGAATTATTACCAAACCACAGCATGTCGGCCAGCACAGTGCTGGTCCATTTAATCAGAACAAAATTCAGCGACGTTTGCTTGTAGGAAAGCAAGAAGCTATCAGAAAGTAACTGTACGAAAGATTTCCATCTACTTGTCTAGCATACATTCTACTGTACAATTATCGTACGTTTCAAATGTTGCTGACGGCTTTTCGTCTACATGGAATTATTTTCTTCGGGTTTTTTCCCCTTGGTAACCTGATCTCCCCCCGCCTTACATCTCT